CATAAAAATTAAGTGGTATGTATGTAAATCTTTCTTTCATATTTTTGTTTGTTTAGTTAGTGAGAAAGGTCTTAGTGGCTCTGAATAGGGTTGATTTACACATAACCACTTACTGGCTCTGAATAGGTTCTAAAAACACCATTTTTTTTTTGTTTTTATGTGGATCTGAATAGGGTTTATCATATCTGGTTGAAGGTAGAAACCCCAATTTTCAAACTCCAAGAAATGGAACAAGTATAATACCCAAAGCTACAAAATTGAATCATTTGAACAAATTCATAAATTCATGAAAAAGAATGAACTTTTGAGAAGCATACGCTGCACTCTATAACAAAGTCATCCATTGAGAATAAGTACAGCAGCTTAAGTACAAAGTAACTATAATGGCTAGCCAATGAACACAGCAATCGATGTTGATAAAACATCCAGAGAATATAGAGCAACCGAAGTGAACATCCACACAGACAAAGACACAAAAATGAAGCTCGGGACAAAATAAAGGAACAAAAGGGTGGAAAGGAAGACCGTTACACGTGTGGATAGTAGTATCCGGCGGGCGGCGGCACCATTGGCATCCCATATGGCATGGCTGGGTTGGAGTAGTAGTTAGTACCGCTCAGCCTAGACAGGCTAGCCTGGCCTTGCATCCCATCCTTAGCGTATTGGTGCCACAGCTGCTGCTCGTGAGCCAGCAACTGTTGCTTCTTCACAATTTCATCCATTTGCACATAGGATGGAGGAGGGATGCTCAGTGAAGCAGCAAAAGGGTCTCCTCCTATGTTCTGAACTGTGCCATCAGGCGCGGGCAAGGCCAAGACCTGTGTGGCAGCCTTCCCAGGCCCTGGTAAAGCAACGCTACTGGCGCTTCCTGAGCTCGCCTGGGCATTGATGTGTTGTCTGACAGCACCTTGGTCATACATGCCATTGAGAAGGAGAGGATCAAAGCCTCCACCTAATGCAGCCTTCTGCTTTGCTAGGTTACTGGCTGTCTCGACCAATGCAAGCTCCCAGTCAGCTTTCCCCGGCTCTGCTGCTGGTGTCTGCCAAGCAGAAGTTACTTGACCTTCTCCGTCACGAGAGAATGCCTCCCATGTCCCATTGGCTGAACCAGCTCCGGTGGAGAAAAGGGCTAATGCAAGTTTGTTTCCTTGTGCATCAGCTGTTAATACATCCTCCCTAAGATCAACTAAATCACCTTGGGGTTGAGGCTGGGGCTTGGGTTCTGGTTTGGGCTCCTCCTCTGGTTCAGGCTGCTCCACGTAGTCAGATGGAGCAGGAAGCGCCTTTATGCTGTTCATATCCTGCACTGGCTCTTCCTCTTGCACTGCAGGAGCTGGTTCTTCCTGCCTCGGAGGGCTTTTTGGCCTTCTTGCCTTGTCTCTCATGAACTCCTCGAGGGTCTCCAAAAGTTTATCTGTTATGCGCTGCACTTCTGGATATTCTGATGACCTGGCCACTCCCGTCTCCTTGCACCATGCGTAGAATGCAGTGAGCTCGTCAATCTGCTTGGCTGCACTAGAATAGGCCTCAAAAGCTTTCGCACAATCGGCATGATCCATGTCAAAAAAGCGGTCCAGTAGCACAGCCAGAATCTCACAGATGTCAGCATAGAGCTGGAAGCTCTCTCTGACAATTGGATAGAGAGCAACAAATATCATCCTGCTGTTTTTAGCCAAACCCATAGGCCTGCAGGCGAGAAACCGATCGAGTAGCTGTTGCAGCTGATGCATCCGACCCAACACTTTCTCAGGTTTCATCTCCCGAAGAGGAGTAGCGGGTTTTTTCTCCTCGCCCTGCCGAGGGGACGAAAAAGAAGACGAGTTCCTCCCATAGTTGCCACCGCCGTAAGGGTCTGGATCACCATAATCCGAGTAGTGGTATGAAGCCGGTGATCTCCATTGCTGCTGATCGCGAGGGGAGTTATAGGACCCGCCGTAAGGGACGATTGCGCCAGCACCACCACCAGCGCCAGCCCCACAGCGCCAGCCCCACCGCCATTTGCATGCTTACGATCGTAAATGATGCACTCAAGGCGTTGATCGAGATAGAGGGCGTAGGTGCGAACAAAGGCGGAGTGGTCCCAAGAGCTGGAGTGAGCCTCGTCGCGGAAATCAGACATGTTGAGAAGGCGAGTTCCGCGGCGTGTAGCGTAGAGGATCTCGTGGTGGAAGGCTGGATCGCCGTCGGCCAAGAGGCGGTGCACGAGCATGAGAGCCTTAAGAGCAACGATCCAATCACGGGTCTTACCTAGTCGGCGAGAAACAGTGGCCACACACGGGCCAACGTAGCCGCGGGAATAGGAGGTGAGGCTGAGGATCTCCCGTATGTACTTCTCGTCGGCAGGCTCGTCATCATGACTAGTCGCCTTCACGATGGCCACATCGAGGTCAGGAGCGACATTACTCGACACCTTCGCAAGGCCGATGCTCGTCTGGTCCTTCACCGCACCGATAGCCTTCCGGATCGTACTTGGCGCCATTCCTCTCTGTTTTCACCGCTCCCCTTTTCTCCCTTCTTCTTCCCTAACTCACATGCAAGCAGTTTATACCCAAGATTAAAAAGGAACGAAATCTATCTCCCCTCAAAACAGTACAAAAAAGCAAATACGTATTTCGAGGTTCTAGATGGATTGATGCCGCAAAAGAAACGATTACAGAGATGAAGTCGACCAAAAGTAACTGGAGCTACGTTACCTAAGCCAGCCACTCCGCAGGCGATGCCCTTCTTCTAAAAGCTCTTCGATCCCCGCGTTGGCTACTCGATTTAGCCGGATCTACCAAATATCAGAGCAGAAACTTCAGATCTAGCTCGGCGTCGAATCGGCTCTTGCCAGATCAAGGTCAGCACAGCGAGATCAAAGCGACAGAATGATCCCGTGAAAATAGGGGCATCGATCTGTACCTTAAACGTAGGATCTCACGGAAGAGCAAAGATCAGGAACGGTTTTCAAATCGGAATCCGGCTACAAAACTTTCTGGTTTCTCCCTCCGGCGAGAGGTCCTATCATCACCAAGCCTCTGGTGATTTCGGCCTCCTCACGCGATTCAGAAATATTTAGGTTGAGGAAAGTCATAGATGTGAATAGTTGGTGGCCATAAATTATTTTTTTATTTACAATTTATGCGATTTATATTTTGAAGCAAAAAAAATTCGCCTCAAATGATTTTTCCACGCCATTTAGCGTGATAACTTGGCGGAAATAAGACGGCACAAATATCATTGATGAAATAAATTATTATCATTAGTTTTTGATTTTTATTCTCTCCGCTCCCTCATCGGAGAGTCAGATCATTATAATTTTTTTTTATTTTAAATTAGATCGCAACGAAAAAACTGTCATCATATCTAAGATAAGTACGATATGAAAATGATGTTTTCAACGTTTTAAAAATACAGTTTATCTAAACAGATCAGATGTGTTTTCAAAGCGCGATCACACCAAATAAGCCGCCCAAACAGGCCTTTACTTTCGTGGGCCGGCAAAAAAACCAAATTTTAATTAAAATAAAAATACCAAGTATTATGTATAATAATTTGTAAAATATATGAGAAATAGATAAAATAAGAAGTCGTTTATCTAATTTTTTGAATTGATTGTATATAATATGGACAAGTTGGGTCAGATATTTTACTCTAAATTTTTATTTTCTTTTAACTAACTGTTGTTTATTAATTAATTTTATGGGATTGTAGAGTGGATCAAAACTAAAAATAAAATAAAAAAGTAAACTTAATTACGTTGCTTGTATTCCGAATAATTGACAGAGCAATAAATAATGTTATATTAAATGATATGAGTGCGTAGTTCCTGATGTGGAGCAATTCTCTTCTGCTGCTATGTTTTGTGCATCGAAAATTGTGCGATTTAATGGTCACGAAGGAAAGAGTATGAAGAAAGTCGGCGCACTCTCATGAAGGTGTGAGGTCCGCTTCAGCAATAAAATGAAGTTGTGTTTGCTAAGTCAGCAAGATTATGAAGACGCTGAACCACCCCGATATCTTAGGGGTAACCGATAGAACATACCACCGAGGGAGCCAGACTTGATATTTTAACTTGTGCTCGGCCCGATAGGCCATGTGCCCATTACCAAATCTCAGAGAACAAAAAATGAGTCAATTGAGAGTTTCGTTGGTTGAGATGGTGGAGGCTTACAGAATAAAAACTTGTTTAAGAGAGCGTCACAGATGAAGATTGAATCTTAGCTTTGAGATCCAAGAAAGTATTATGCTTATCATCGGGATCATGGGTATGGTACAGAGGAGTGCCAAAACTCCAAGGCCAAATTGAGGTCAAGCTTAGAAAATTGAAGGAGTTTGTGGCATCAATATAGCAATGACCTAGTGGAAAGGGAAAGCTTCAGTGGAGGAAATATCAGAAAAGCCTTTCTGAGTCCATGAAATGCATATCGCTACCATGGTTCTCGCCTTCTTTGAAGGAGGTGGAGACTCTTCCCGTCGAGCTAGTCGGGAAAGATTTCAGTCAGGAGAACTTTGCACAGCTGCCCTTAGGCCCAAACAAAGCTCACATTCTCCCATAGCCTTCACTAGCAAAGACCCCGCCCCATAAGGGTAATCCCTACAACGACACTATCATTGTCACCACACTAATTGACAGCTACCAAATCGGTAACACCCTCATTCACACTTGAAGCTTTGTAAACATTCTATTCAAGTTGATGTTCAATAAAATGGGTGTCAGGAGCAAATAATTGACAGTCGCAACTGACTCACTCTGTGGTATTTTTGGTAAAAGTAAGAAGGCGCTGGGAACCATCGCGGTTGATTACCTAGGGAGAAAAGAATAAGCAGTTGACTAGCCAATCCAAATTTTACTGTGCTCGACTCGCCGCCTACCTACAATATTATCTTTTTGGTTGTCCCCTATTCAATTCTTTTAAGGCCATCACTTCTACCGAGCATGTGGTTGTGAAGCTCTCGGGGAATGGGGAGGTGATCACTATCTGCGGTGATCTCAAAAAGTCTTGCACCCGTTATTTCCCAGTGGTCGGAAGCGTTCAACAAGAACCCCATGAGCTCCAAAATCTACGAGAAGAGGGTCTCAAGCCCAATAAGATTACCCATCAAATTATTATGACCCAAAAAGGCATTGATAAATATTTATTGCTAAGTGAAGCTTTTGATGCATGCACAATGATGCACTAATCGATACCCTCCAGAGCCATTGAGATGTCTTTTCCTCTTCTGCCACTAAGATGTCTGAGATACTGATTAATGTCGTCTACCACCGTTTGAAAGTCAACTCGATGGCCCAACTGATGAAGTAGAAGATGAGGACCTCTTTTGTCACCTAACTAAGCCAATCTGGAAGGTGGTCTTGAAACTATTGAAAGTCAACTACATCTGAGAACTCCAATACTCGGCCTGGGTATCAAACATTACCCTGGTAAAAAAAATGAAATGACAAATGGAAAATGTTCGTGGGCTCAAAAAATTTGACCATCGCTTACAAGAAGAACAGCAACCCCCTATCGTGGATTGACGTACTTGTAGAAGTGGCGATCGACCATTTTATAATGAGCTTCTCAGAAAATTTCTCCTACTACCATAAAATCAAGATGCATCTAGCTGAAGCTGAAAAGAATGCATTCATCGTTGGTAAGAAAGTGAATTGATATTGTAATTCTCTTTGAGCTAAAAAATGCTGGTGCCACTTACTAGTGCACAATAGATATAATTTTTGTCAAATAGAAAAATAAAAATGTCAAAAATTATGTGGATTTATTTTAATAAAAAGTGAAAAACCTGAGAAATACATGAAATATTTAAAAGAAAATTTCAAAACCTTAAGAATATTTAATATGAATCTCAATCCTCTCAAGTGTACTTTGATGGCATCCACAAGAATATTTATAGGCTATCTCATAACCTCGGTGGGAATAAAAGCTAACCCATAAAAGGTTCATGCATTGATCAACATGTCGTCCCTCTGAAACACAAAAAAACTTTAAAAATTGACCAATAAGATTTTAGGCCTGAGTCGATTCATCTCAAAGTTGGGCAAATAATACATTGCTTTTTTCAAGATCTTGAGGTAAGCAAAGAACTTTCTTTGTTTGGATGAATGTGAACAAGTATTCAAGAAATTGAAAGATTCCCTCACATCACCACTGTTCCTTCACAGCTCAAAGTAGTATGAAGAAGAAGAACTCTCTCTGTATTTGGGGGTTGGACATGAAACTATCAGCTCAGTTTTAGTCCGAGAAGAGAAAAAAAGTAGTCGTCATTTTAGTATGTTAGTCGAGTCCTTTGAGGAGCCGAGCTCATGTATTCGATTATAAAAAAAATTAACATTTCACTCGTTATTTCTGCCAATAAGCTTCATCAATATTTCCAAATATATATGGCCATGATCATCACCAACCACCCAATTAAATCTATCCTCACCAGACTAAAATACTTATACCAGCTTCTAAAACGGGTGATAGAACTCAACAAGTTAAATCTCATTCAAACTTTGGGAACAACATTTACAGTCAAACATGCACAATCTCTATATTCTCGGGAATTTAAATACAATCACTACCAAAATGCTATTGCATTCATAAACCACATATCTCACAAATCTTCTACAAAACTCTAGCATGATCCATTGTAAAAAAGTTCTAACACTGACCAATCAAGCCATCCCCTACAAAATCTATAAATGAAACATTTTCATATCCTTATCAATATTTTTAGCTCACCGACTCTCTTTAATTTCATTCCATCACCCATCTAGATATCGTGCATATCATAAATCAACTATTTCAACATATGTAATAAATTTTAATCCACTACTTCGAACTCCTCAAAAAGAATTCTTCTCTATCTTAAAGGGAGCATCTCTTATGGATTACCGATCTAATCAACATCACTCCTTACGATCATATGCTGATTCATGATGGGCTGAAAATCCTCAAGAAAAAACCTATATTATCGGCTACTCTTCATTCTTTGAAGATACTCTTATATGTTGGAGCCCGGTTCGGTAGAAGAAGCCCAATCCTGCTCCCGCTCGGTCGCTTCTCGCTTCCCACTTCCGCCTCCCTATTCATAATCGCTAAAGGTCGTGACTGCAACCCAGCAGTTTCGTGAGCTGCTCCCACCAACTCTTGCCGAAGTTCGCGAATCGTTGCACCTCTCCTCTTGTTCGCTATAAAAGGCTTCAGATGGCTCTCCTTGAGTTTCTAAGTCACGGTTAGTGTTCGTCTTTGGGCTTCCTCCGGATAGAAGGAAGAGAAGTGCAAGAAGTGGTTCCTTATAGCAGAAGAAAGAACAAAGAAGAAGAAGAAGATTGTTCTCCATTGACTTCTTCTTGTTGGCTGAAGAGAAATTGAGTTTATTTCTTTTGTAAGTTTATCTTCTTCGGTGCATCTCAATGTAGAGTTTCTTCGGTGTATAGAGAGAAGAAAAGAGAGAGAAGAAGAAAGAGCAACGAAGTGATAGATTCCTCTTGTAAGTCGAGATGATCGACTGGTGTAAATTCCTCAAGTAGTAAAATCCTCAGCAACTCCGTGGATGTAGGCAATTTACCGAACCATGTAAATCTGTGTGCTCTTTTTTGGTGTGAATTTTCTCGTTCTATTTTTTGCTTTGTCGATTATTCTCCTGTTTGATTTATATATATACCACATTAACTGGTGTATATCTCGCAACAAATCTCATATCTTGGATAGCTAAGAAACAACAAAAATTAGCTAGATCTTGTATCAATGCTAAATATAGAGCAATAGATACATCAATGACCAATGAAATATGACTTCATTATCTTCTTCAACAACTTAATATGTATACATATCAACCTATTTCCATCTAATATGATAATATTTTGCTATTGCTCTCGTGAAAAATCCCACCATTGTCGGGCTGTCCTGCAAACAGGTTATTGTCATTTCCACTTTTTTCGTTATCAGGCCACCACCGATCTCATGGCAGCATTATCATGTATGTATGAAAAACTATCAACGAATAATAAGGTGTACTTGATGAAGAAGTTATTCAACTTGAAGATGGCGGAATGTGTTTCTGTTGCTCAACACCTGAATGATTTCAATAGTATCACAAATCAATTGTCATCTGTTGA